TGCTCGAATATGCAGACGTTGTTTGGGACCCACACACAAAGACGGATTCAGCGATGCTCGAACGGGTACAAAAGAAAGCGCTGCGATTTATTCACAACGCATACAGCAGGCGTGTATCCGTGACAGAACTGCGCAGGCGTTCTGACCTACCAACACTAGAGTCCCGCCGTAAATTACATCGACTTAAAATATTACACAGTATAGTCAATGGTTATTCAAAGCTTGACTTCAATACTTATCTTGAATTCAACATGTCACGCCCCACCCGGAACAAGCACAACAAAACAATCCTAATGCCTTTCACGAGAACAAACGCTCACCGTCTATCCTTTTTCCCGAGAACGATAGCAGAATGGAACACTTTGCCACGTGACGTTACTAACTTAACTAATCAAAATGCTTTTTCAACGGCTATTCAAAATTGTGTATGATTGGAAGTGCTGGTCTTGTTCTCCTGTCCTATTAAACTAACATATTTCACGTGTTATCTTGCTACCATGCCACAACGCACACTGCATGTTTTTTTTTTTTTTTTTTTTTCACGCTTCCTGGTCAATGCGCGTAGTGTACTTTGTGTGTGCTTGCATTAGACTAGCATTGCCGGTTTTATTGTATATTCATGTAGCTATTTGAACGAGAATTACTGCTGCTTTGCGAATCGTGGGCCGTGTTACTGATTGCGTGCGCTTGTGTGTCGTGACAATCTGTAAGCTTACTGTATTATTGCTTCCCTGTGTACCGCGGACCGTGTTACTGGTCGCGTGTAAACTTTGTGTTCAAACTCTGCACTGTACCACTCCTGCCCTGGCTGCCAAAGGGTGGCTGGCAGTATTGAATAAATAAAAATAAATAATAATAAATAAAATGGCATGAAAGAAAGAAACACACTGAATATAGTAAGTGCAGTGGTGACCACAGCAGGCCTAGATAAGAGCAATACGCCGATTGTCGGAGAGACAGTGAATGGTAAACCTGTATCAGTACTTCGAGACACCAGGGCCAATGCGGTGTTGGTTAAAAAGACGTTTGGTAGACGACAGAGAGTTGACTGGAAGGTCATCACACGTGTAGCTGGTAGATGGGTAAAAAAGATGTTTGCCAGAGGCGGGGACAACGCTAGATACTCTGTACTACACAGGACGTGTAGATGCACTGTGTGTAGACGAGCCTTTATATGACATAGCTTTAGGAAATGTAAAAGGGGTAAGAGCAAGGAAGCAGTTACTGCAAAACAGGAAAATGCCAAGTTAGCGTGCAAGTGGCAGCATAGAAAAGATGCAAAAAGGAAACAGACGAGCAGTGGTTTCGAAGGAGGTGATAGGTGAAAAAGAGGACAGACGCGACATTAATGTGACTGCAATACTGGATGAATTAGTCCTGTCGACAACTGGGTATGGTAAAGAGAAAAAGTAGGACGAGTCACTGAAGTATGGAGTAGATAGAATTGTAAGTGGACCAATGAATGAAGGAATGAGAGAAGGCATGACGTGCGTACTGAATAAAGGGGCGGTATACCGAAAGTTCGTGAAAAAAAGGGAGATGGCGTATGCAATTGATTGTGCCGGCAAAGTATAGGGTAGCTATACTGGAGAGGTGTCATGCCAAGAAGCCCAAAGGAGTGAGGCAGACTGTAATGGAATTAACTAAAGTAGTGTTCTGGCCTGGGTTGTGTAAAGATGTGGAAAAATTTGTCAAAAGATGTTGTAAGCAGACGGGCAAGGTAAAAAGAGATTGTGCTAACATGTAGAGGGTGAGGTGCAGAGTATCCCAGTTTGGGCCTCAAGTTTTCTAAAGCGAATTTTCGGAGACAATGAACTAGCGAATGTGTTGAGTATTGAGAGTAGTTACTTCGTTACTTCGAGTGTGTTGAGGACCTAATATTTCGGCTATCGGGAACATTTATTGAAATATTGTGACCGCAATCCCAGGTAATTCTGTAAGTAGGTGACATCTGAACTATATGATGCAGGTGGCTTGACTTATTAGTGAAATAGGCGTGATGTGTGGTGAATTTGTGATAGTGGTGTGATGTGAAAGTGCTAGTTAGGTGCATTAAGAAGTCGTGTATAAATCGCTCATTGACGACGGAAAACCCTCTGCTGGCAAGAGCAGTTTTTCATGCAGAAAGGAGGAGGTATCCTTGTCATGAACATGTAAACTGGTGGTAGAAGAGCGAGAAGCAGCACGGTATTTGCCGGAACCCACGAGCACAGCTCCTAAAAAGGACGTGCCCCAACTTTCGCAGCAATGTCCTGTGAGCTGCGGGGCGCAGCCAGGAGTTTGACCAGCTCGGCCAAGCGGCCGCAACTTTGTTGTCATGTGTCAGATGGCCTGCAGTGACGCTCCATAGGTGGTGCACAAAAAACGACATGCGGCATAACAACACGTATATATTCTGCATGTGCATCTTTTACTAGAAAAAGCACACATAAGTAATTTCAAGGACCGTAGCGCTTATCACGCTGCGCTGACCATGCAACTTCCCCAAGTGGGGAAGTGTGGGTGCGGGGGAGGTATTGTTGACAATGACGACATTCCTCATCTACCTCTGCCCTACTCTGTTGAAATGCTGCCCCTTTCTAATTACGCCGTGTCGGTCTTGCTTCTTCTCCTAGCTTTTCTATATTTTATTTAATGTTTGTCCTCCCGTTTCGCTGTTTCTTCTTTTTTCTCTCTCTCTCTCTCTCTCTCAATTGACCCCTCCACTCCTGTCTCGACAGGATATAAAAAGGCACGGAACATGTGTAAATAGTATTATGCCTTGAAAAAGACAGGGTTCTTGTCGAAACGTCGGCACAATAAACAGTTGTTATGTGAAAGCGCATCTACTTTCATATTTATATATATATATATATATTTATATATATATATATATATATATATATATATATATATATATATATATATATATATATAGTGTGTGGGAAACTGTCGTAGCGCATTCAACATTTACTTTGTGAATTAGGTTCTCCGTTCAGTTTCATTATCATAAATGGTTTTTCCTGTTCCTTGTTGCCCCTTTTTTGTTGAACATATAGCTGTATAGACCATGACAGCATTAGCGATGCAGTAATGCCTCATTAACTCGAACTTGCACATCTAAAAAAATCAGCTAAGTTGAAATTTTCTATGGCACCACACATTTTCCTATATATCCCATGTATATTTTCCCCTTCATCTTGAAGTATTTTTGGGCCGAATTGTGAATAACTCGAAATCCTGACTGGAAGTGGAACGAATATTCTGCTGAATATTCTGACCATTTCACAAGATTCACACGATGCTGCCACGCCTGAAGTGCGTCAATATTTTTCCTTATTTAGCCGTGCCTGCCACTAAGTCGCTGCTTTCCGCGTACCCGAAGTGCATGAAGTCTCGGCCCAGCAACATATCAACTTTGTCAAGCAACCATGTGGCACTTCATGTGACACATGCACTGAACAGGGAGGCTTTCTTTCTAGCTTGGCATAGTTTGTCTAGTTCGCTTTGTGCAGTGCACATAAATTTCTCTGAAGTATGATTTCCATTCTTCTGCACAAACCGAGCGATACATATTTTTCGCTGGCTGTGAGGAGCAGTAACTCGGCGTGAGAACGGGAAGCATGGCGTCAAAGCAGTGGAACTCGCTAACACTAAAGGTTGCCCTAATTGAAAAATTGGAGAAAGATGGCCAAACAAAATCGAGCAGCGCACAGGAATTCAGCATCTCTATGTCTATGCTTTTGACGGCGCTGAAAAACAAGCAGAAGGTGCTGCATGGATTTCAGCAGAGATTCTCCCGCCAGCGAAAGCAGGTTCAGGGATCAAATTTCTTAGATGCAGTAGATGTCGGCAGAAGGTGCCAAGATCTTCTGAGACGAGCAATTTGCAGCGCTTGCTTCGAAATAAGGTTAAGTGCAGCAGGCAGGAAAGATCAACTGATGCGATGTGTCAAGCAGCTGGAGGACGCCTTCCTAGGTCCGAGTACGACCGCAGACAAGCATTAGGCAGTTTTTCACTGCTAAATAATGTGGCAGTGCGGCAGAACCCAGTCAGTTAAAGCCTCTTGTATGTTATTTTTTTTTCTTTTAAACCTGGACAAGAAGAAAGATTAGAAACTTCCGCTGAAGAGCCGGTAATTAGTAGTGACTTTTCTGAAAAGTGCTCATTTTTCCTGGCGATTAGCCCAACTTCGTTTATCTCAAAAAACATTATTCTCGTAATTTTCACTGGCTTTTACAAATTCAAGTTAACGAGATATCACTTATTATACCTTCGCATTTTGGCAATGATTTTCGTATTTTCTCCTGCCAATAAAGCCCTATGTAAGTTCGACAGGGCTGACAAATGTACCATGCTCAAAGATATAAGTTTTGAAAGGAAATAATCATCATTACAATTACAATGTAGGTATAAAGGAATACAACAGTTGCAAAGGTACACACACACGTGCATGCTACCACCATCATCTCTCATTAACACAAGTCCAAAAATGAAACAGAAGAACATAATTCCTCTCCCTACATTCTCGAATGGTCTATGAAACTAAGATTTGCTACACAGTACATGCGAGCGCTTGTCAATTAATAAACAGCAGCAAAACATAACAAAGACGTCATTAGTGCTGAAAATGGTTCCAGGTACGGAGCTTTCTGCAGTATGTAAGCACAGCACCGTTACTGTACATTACTTTTTTGATGATACTATATTTGCTCTGTCTATTCTACGACATTTTGACATTCCGGTTTGAAAAATGTAATTAAACGAGGATCACAGACAGAGACTGGACACATAGCAGCACTTCCCAGGGCAAGTCTTTACAGAACATCGAAAATCTATTTTTATTTGAACAAAATTAAGTACATAGAAACCAAACTACTGCACTAATTCACACACATGTGCGTGCGTGCACACACACACACACACACGAACACGCATCGATTGCAGAAGAAACAACTCAAGTGACTATCAAATTGCATAGTGCCTAATTCAGTGTAACTAAATTCACAAGTTGCACTGACCTGGTCACAGAACTTGTCGGCCAGCCAGCTGTTGGCGCAGCTTGTGCTACAGTACACTGCACATGAAAAAACACAGGGCATCCATCATTGTACTCGACATCCACATCAGGTCAAAGGGTCCAAATTGAGTTTTTTTTTTTTTTTTTTGTTCAGTTGACTCCCTCCTGCCCACAGAAACTTCTAGATTCTATCACTGACATGCTTGACTGCATTTATACCTTAGCATCCATGCTGTTAGTGTAATAAAAAGTCTGAAGACGGCATTGAAAGTGGCAACAGTCCTTTCATTGGCAGCCAGTTTAAAACAGGTTGTTTGTTTCCACAAACCCTATGAACGCAAGACATCTTGCTAATGAGCTTCTTACCAGAAGCTCACTTCAATGCACTTATTCAAAAGATATTCCAATTAATAGGTGCCTTATGCAATCACACATTTGCCATAGAAACTAATCATTTAAAAAAATGATCCTGAAATAGGCACTTTTCTAAGGTGTTACTCCAAAAAGTCAACATAGCCATAAACTAACGACTTAATAATGATGGTCTATATGATATTAAGTGGCAATATACCATTAGATACACTTCTTCAATTCACACCTATCAATCATTCAGTTTATCGCTCCCTCCTCAGTCTTATCTGGCCCTCCGACCACAGGGTTGCATATCCACTCTCTAATTAGCCAGTGTTTAATTTCTGACAGCATCACACAAATTGCCCTCGCCCATTCCTATTGTGCTTTTTTTCCATTTTGGTGAGCCTGATGTGTTCACTCTCATAACAATCATACCCTAGAATTGTCATCAATACTTTTTTTTTCTTTTCTTTCCGCTATAGTAATTGTACTTCGAACTTATTGTACTGACAGTAGTAGTAATTATGGTTATGATGTCACGTGTTCATCATTTAGTGATCCAGGTAGCCAACTATGCAAAGCAGCCCAATGGTGACTCGCCTTGTACTGTTCTTGTTGTACTTCATCCCTTCCTTCTAATTTATGTGGTATGCAAGTTAAAGGCTATTGGGGGTGCATTGAGGGTGGCACTGTCCTGCACTGCTTTTCTAATGGAGACATTTTATGAACAGTCCGCAAGAATCTGCGAACTCGTTAGAATGTGTCGTCAAGTTGTGCAGTCTTTACACCACCACACACAGCATCTAACAGATGTTGCTTTAGTGTGAAAATTCACATAGTCAGCTAACAGTAACAAAAAGTTCCTTCTTTCTACAATCTCAAAAGACAATACAAAACAGCAAGTTTTTAAACAACTTAGTACTGAATTATCGACATACGGAACAGCTTCTCCGACCCTTCGGAGTTCTATAGTAGATATCAGTTCAGGCATACATTCCATTATAGTTATGAGACTGTTTACAGCCCAAGAAAGTCTATAACACACTCACACTTGCTCAGGTCCGGCCTTGGAAAAGGGAGTAGGTTGAAAGGGCGAGCCGTCACCGAGGCTGCAGGGCCCAGGCAGTCTCCACCATCCCACTCACATTTGGAGTTGTTGCACGGCCTGTCACAGTAGCCGTCCTTCACCCATGACGTTGGGCAGCCCAACGCACAGTCGGGTACAGGCCAGGCCAGGCGCACCTGCACGCAATTGCCACACAATCGCGGCATTGCATAGTTACAGGTGCATTGCCAATGACAGTGTTAGCCGAAAAGTGAGCAGGTGCTGAAGGCTTCACAAAAGACAACTTTTCAATATTAGGAGACTTATCTCGTCATACCCCTAAGTGCAACTAAGTAAATAAGAAGAAAGACTAGAAAAAAAGTCAAGGACTGACTCTGGTGGGAAGCTTATCTGTACAACGACACACAGTCCTTAATTCGTGCATAATAGCTGCAACATTCACAGCTGTTGGGATGGGGACTGCTCAATAGAGCTCAGCACATGTAGGCCAAAACAGTACGAACACGTGCACATACACATAGAAGCCACAATTAGATATAATCCATGCTGCCCATTCTGCAGGTGGGTTATTCAACGTAGAAAGCACGTACAGAGCAAGTTGCATGCTGAGTAGCATCTAGCAGGCATGGCACAAATCCCTCACAAAGACGTTCCGTGTACTTGGAATTCATTTTTGTACAGAATGCTCAAAGCAGCCACTGTTAACAACACAGAGCCTTCCTCAGCCCACATATAGTATTTAGAGCTGTGCGCTATTGCGCCGTGCTGCCACCGCCGCTCGTTTTTGCTGAAGTTTTGAGAAAGACCATGTCGCCGTCACTGTTGTACAATAATTGCGATGCACCGCCATTTGTCTTACTTTAACCCGAGTGAGAAATCTGGCTATGAAATACATTAATTCACCTTCTTTTCTGCAGCTTTATGCTTTGTCAGAGCTGCGTTTGCGGTGTCTTGACTGCTCTCTTGTGCCCGTGTTTGCATGGCCTGTCTACATAAGCGCCCCAAAACAGCTTCTGAAAATACGCAATCGAGTGCGTCATTCTCTCTTATCATTTCTCATTCTTTTGGCACTTTTCGTGACGCTAGCACGATGATTCACGTGACATGATTAGAGCACATAGTTTCAAGGGTCCACTTACGAGAAATATTAGTTCCATCTAGTGATATTATTTCCAAGGGCTTATACACACTATACACACTTCTTCGCGCTATGATATCACTTCACAAACACTGCTCTTTTCCTGGGAGCGGCTGTATTCTCATATACCAGTGTTTTTCAGTTTCGCGAGATGATATGAAAAAGACTCAGCTGCGGCCTAAGCCTCGTTATGGGGCTGCGTCCTTCTATTCGAACGGTGTAAATTGTGAAATCCTCGATGGCTTTTCTGACCATAAAACTGTTAAGGTCACCTCAGACATAGCCAGCTCTCCTCAAAGACTTGGGATGAAAGCTTTTTGAGCTTTCTCAAGGTTATGGACACTTCCGTACTGGACACTTCAGCCTCACCTTCTGAGAAATTTGAATTTTACAATGCAAATGCGCTCCTTCTTAAACTTTGTGATATTGTGTGTGAATGCCTAATAAAGTGTGTGCCTTAAAAATATACAATGGAACTCAATACATCCATGCAACCGTAAAGATATAATTATTCTTACTCGTAGCATAATCTGCATACGTAAAAATTGTAATTACAAGTGTGATGATAATGCTTCTTCATTTAATGCATTGAAAAGTAAATTGGAAACTAAAATGAAAGCGGCTAAGATCTACTACTTTCAGCGATGCTTTCGCTACACTTACAAAACAAATCTATTCGGGTTATAGAGGTCAATTAGTCCTGGATCATCTATGCCTTCATAGTTTATTCAATCCTCCTCAAGTACTGAAGCCATAGCGAATACCCTAAATAATTACTCGAAATCTCTTTTTTTCTATCGATAACGGCATTGTCCTTCATTTTCCATGTGCAGCTAATTATACCTGGTTTTTATACTTTTGAATTAAGTTCCTCTGAGGTATACGACCTTATAAAAAATCTTGAGGCTTGAAACCATCTGGCCCAAACGGTATTCCCAATATGCTTCTTTGGGCTATTCAGAATAATGTGCTGACTTTTTACTGTAATATTTTAAAAATACCAAAATCTTTGCAGAAGTTCCCCAGCTGTGCAAATTAGCAGACATCATGCCCATGTTTAAGTCCGGCAACAAGCAAATAGTACCAAATTATAGGTCAATATTTTTGTTTTCTACCAGCTCTAAACTTTTGGAGCATACTGCCGCGACATCTTGCCCACATTCAAATGATGCGCTCATCTCCCTGCGCACAGGACATGCATGCATCATGGCACGAGCACTTGGCTGGACCTGGCTCGACTGAATGACTGGCCGAGATCTTTCGTGTTATCGATATGGTGATTTTGGGACGTTAAACCACACATATAAATTAAATCAATATGATCATCTTTCGTGTTCAACTGAAGTGCAGTTCTATGACTGCAATCACTTTGAGTTTTGGGCACAGCTTCGCCCCCTATAATGAATGCGTTTATTCTATTAGCCTGAGTGCTTCAATGTCGCTACAATATGATTAAGAAATACATTGTAGAATACCTAAATGCACGCAATACACTTTCAAAATTACAACTTGGCTTTTGTCATGGCTATTCAACTGTTACACGGTTGCTTCAATTTATACACGACATTGCTTCTTTCCCTAAAGACCGAAAACAGGTTAAAGTCATAGTTCTTGATTATCTGAAGGTCCTTTACATGATTTACCATGCTAAACTTAGTTTTTCACCAACTTTTGACGACAACAAGCTGGTTGATAGGATAGCAGATTATTTGCTATCGTGCTAAAAATTTGTTACGTTTTAACCACGCAAGTCATCTGATGTAGACTCAAACCTCCTTATAACAAAGTTGCATATTATAAAAAAAATAAGTTTGTTATATTCGAAAATTCGTTATAAAGGTTGATTCAGAACATTATATCTATTGCAAGACTATTTCTTATTTACTTCTTATAACCAATATCAAGTTACATTCTTGTTCTTTATATTGAGGATAGAATGTACATATCACGTCAGGAAGGGGTCGCATGGTTCTGTGCTTGGTCCACTTTAGTTTATTATTTATACAAATGAAGGAGAAGAAACTATTGGCGATACTCATATTAAACTTAGAATGTATTCAGACAGCTGTGTTACCTGTAGAACCATATCTAATATTCAAGATCAAGATGCGTTGAATAGCCTTGTTTTGTAACGAGAGTGAAACAAGGCAAACTTCAAAAAGACTGTAGTCCAGACCTTTTCAAATAAAAAACAGCCTCATCGTTTTACATATTCTAATGACGGTACAAGTCTAGTAGGTGTTATGTAGTTTAAATACATTGTTGTAACTTTCACAGCCAACTTGAGATGGCACACGCACATAGAAACGACACGCAACAAGCTCTTCGAAAACATTGGTGTCTCCGACGAACACAACTGCAAGAAATATTGCTGACTGACAGTGTATGCGACTTTGGTCAGACTGGAATATGCCCTAGTTGTTTGGCCGCTTCACCACAAACATGACAAGACTATGTTAGAATCTGCTTGAAAAATCCATATTGCTTATACTGTGTTGCTATGGCGTTTTTCTCGCCTACTTCGCATGCACATGTCTTAACGCTGCAGCCCTTCGAACATCTGCTAATGGCTAAACTACTAACAGCTAATGGGTAAACAAACACTTCTGCTTTCTGGTTACATCAAAACTAGGGGTCGCCAACGATAACTGAACTCGCAACCTTCTGCTTTTTTTTTATGATTTCAGTTCTCCAGCCTGGGAATAACTCGCTGTGAAACATCCCACAGCATGCTACTACTAGAAACAATGAGAGACACAGCAAAAAAAACTCCGGTAACACCGTTGGTCTAATACCTTGTAGCCTCCAGCATGAGTGTAGAAGTCTTCTGGCCACACATTCCAGCCAAAGAAAACATCATCGTTGAGGTAGATGAAGCGCTGCGACAGGCCTCGGATGCGGTGCAGGTGTGTCTCAATGGCTGGAGAGCTGTACGTTGGCAGGTGACTCTTGTTGGGAAAGATCTCCTGCCGGTATAGGTAGAATTCAAATTTACGATGGCTGTTTGCCACTGTTGGGCAAATGGCCATGCCTTCACGAATGAAAACATATTTGTATTAATATGCTATGCAACACGGTATCGGCAGGACGATTTTGGCCTGTGAGCTGTCTGGAACTCATTTGCTCGGAACATGACGTGTTCAAGTCTATTTAGTGTGCCCTAACAGGGCACACAAGAAGGGCATAAACAAAAAAATGGACAGAACACACAGAAAAGCACACACACACATAAAACAAGCCTCGCTTGTGTGCAAAACAAAAGCATACTTGATGCATGTGATTGGGCATGAAAACTCACTCAGAATTCTCTCTGACATATAACTGATAATTTTACAAGTAAACCTGAAGTTGCACCTCTTCTGGAGGTTCCTACTTTGTAGATAAAATACAATGACAATGTTTCCTAGAACGTAGTGCCCCCTCAACAGCACAAGAAGTTTGTAGTCCGTGGATAAGCACAGAAGCTTACAAGCATACGAAGATGTACAGAGCTTACGGAATGAAAGGTGTCAATTTACTGCTATGTAATTCAAGAACTGGCTCCAATTCCACCATTTTTAGATGGTGCCACATTGCCATAATATTGGCTCACACACTTACCTCAGAGCAAACGTCACGTCTAAAGGCCAGATTTATAGCGAGACAAAGTGGTCATCTGGTGCAAAGGTCGGCAACACGCAGGCCTGGGCCCACAAGGTGGTATCATGCAGCCACCAAAATGACATGCCCCCCCCCTCCCCCCCTCTGTTTTTTTTTGTCGCTTCCTATTTGAAAGCTGACATTGCAGTTTTAACTTACAGTAAGATTTTCACTTGTAACCCATGTTTGATCGTGACTTTTTTAGATGCATACTAAAGACAAACACGATTTACAATCAAATTCTGTAAGTTATTACTGATTTGGTGAATTTTCATGCTCTGCCTGCAAAGCCCCTTCCCCCCCCATGCCTGCCTCACCCACCCCCCTTCCCACCCCACTGCGTGAGCGTTATGTACCTGGTGCTCCGCCTCAAAAGGTTGCCAAACCCTAGTGTAGAGCAATTACACGGGCCAGTTGTGTCCCACTCAGAACTTTAATATAGCATTCTATTCCTTAAGCACAGAACACTAAGGCACAATTACCTCAAAGCTATAAAACTTGAAAAAGAGAAATGTTATGCCTGTGAGAAACATACAGCAAAGTCACTGCATACGCTGGAGGAGCAGCTTTTCAAAAGCCTGTTGTAAACTCTATTAGAGAGACTACTGCAAGTACAGCTGTTACGCCATAAAGCCGCAACGCCATAAGTCCACTATGCCATTAATTATCATATTATGAAGCAGGGGTACATGAAGCAACTTGAAACCTCAGAGTTGCTGATAATGTTGCTGCAAAACAAGAGTGACGCTTGTCACAACTGGAAAGGAAGAAAAGAAAGGGAAGGCAGGCATGCGTACCTCGTGAGTAACTATAGTGACTCGAGGGCAGTCCAAGTTGAGCCACGAAGGAATCTGACCGTTGGTGACTATGTAGACCTTCCGCACCCAGGGTGCATACCGCTCTAGTGACCGCAGCGAGTACTTCAGTTCCTGGTGAATGAAAGTAAGAGTTGACCACACAAGAAGAACACTGCTCCCCCCCCCCCCACTAGCTCCTTTCTGAAGAAATACCAGGCTGTGCTAGTAACGGTAGCATGGTCAGTTCAGAAGTGCCCATAATACTTTTAGCACCAGTTTCTTTCTATTGAAATAAAAAGAGAAAGGAAGCAAGGGACTGTACAATGATTGTTTAGCTGTCGAACATGATAACTACTGAAAGAATGCAGACAAAGTTGGCAAAGAAATTGCAAACAAGTTTTGTATGCACCTTCTATGACAAAACGATGTATTCTTCCAATAACCCACTAAGCAAAGATCTTAGGACTGTCCAGCATTGCAGTCAAACTGAAGCAAGTGACTAGATTAACACTTTAACAATCAGTACGCAGATGCATGGTGGAAAACGAGAAAGACAACAGGCAGCAATGAAAGCAAAAAAGATGAATGAGAGGGAGAGAAATGTGACCACTTATTTCCATTATATTCTTATCACAGAAGTGGCGTGTCTACTCAACCAGTCTTGCATTTCCCTGCGAGTTCTCAGGACGTACGATTAAACACAAGGACGTATGGGGTGTGCTTACAATAGAAACCAACAACAAGGCTTACAGATGCCATTAAAAATCTTCACAGGTAAAGGCCACAAGTACACCTCAAAAATAAGTTGGCATAAATGAAGGAAGAACAAAAATACAATAAACAAGTTTCACTGTATGTTATGCTACTTTCCGCACCTAATGCTAGATAGAGGAGCCTAAAGGAAATTAGCGCTACAAAAAAGCTTATGAATGAAAATGTCATATTCAGAGATGTTGCAATAAGTACTTGAAAACAATTCTCTGCATAGAAAGGCTATGCCACTGATTAAAACAGTAATGGTCCTAGAAGTACATTATAGTGTCAGGCAAAGCAAACACAAAGCTGGCAGTATGATCTGTTGTATGCTATTTGAAACCACTGCTAATAAGTCGGCATGTTTTATATTTCAACTATGTTCAATCACTATGATTAAGCAACATCAGCTACTAGTATATCACATACAGCGGCTCAATGTACACATGGGACAGATAAGGCCCCAAGACAGCTACCATCTGCCATTAAGATGTCAGCAATGGCTGGGCAAGTTTTTATGCATTCGCGGTTGGGAAATCGGCAAGCAGGGCACAAAAATAAATGCATACACAAGGCCAGCAAAAACAGACAAGACATGGACACAGTATTACACACAACCACTGTATGGTATGAAACATCAGAACATTAGTAACAAAATAAGACCAGAACAGCCTGGCTGCTCGCTCAGCTACAGAAGAAATATTCCGCAAATTATCTATTCAGGATAAAGTCTCAAAACTTACGTCATTGTCAGCGAATCGGCTTGCCACAAGATCTTCATTTTCCTGCACATTGGCACACAATCACTTACATATCCGAGAGATAACAAGGCCCTCAATCTCACAAGGACGCTTGCCACTCACCAGCAGGGGATCGACGACTAGGGACACTCGGCTGATTGTGACTAGTCGTGCCTTGAGCGACACATTCACCTTGGACAGCAACTCGGTTGCCGACTTCCCAGAGGTGACCACTAGAGCCAGGCTCTCTTCCTCGTACATGTACACCTGCGCAGGTTTGAAAGGATCGATCTATGACAAAAGTAGGCTTGTACGAATTGTAAATTTCAGGCCTGAAGCGAATAGTTATTTGGTTTGAATAATTTTGAAATGAATTCAAATCATACATATCACTTTTTATAAAAAAAATTAGCATAGTTGTAATGAATCATGACCCAACTAATTTTCACAATACTTTTATTTGAATGAAACAAGGCCTGTGGGAATGCCATTCTTTTTTTTGTTCAAAGAAAGTAGAAGCAAATTTGAATATTACCAGGATTTGACTTTCGGAAGAATGAAATTCATGACTAGTAAAATATGTTACATTTTCAAATTTACTATACTTAGAGCACGTAAGCCGCAATAAGATGCTTTGAAACTTAGAAAAGGAAAAATAGATGTGAGGGTAATACACTCATTAAATATTGAAGTGGGGCTTCACGGCAGTACATATATTCCTTGGGAAAGATATACTAACGGTATAGAACCCATCCACCGCAGTGAAACTAGCTTTACTGAGGTTACAAGCGTACAGATACTTGTTCATTTCAATCAAAATTATCAATATTTTAAATTTAAATTGAACCAACACCAAATAAATTAATATCCATTCAAATATTCCAAGTGCTCAAATATATGAACAGGCCTATACACAACCTTTCCTTGAAAGCAAGGAAGCCAGTAGAGTGACATTCTATATGCTTTGCAGTGATTAATCATTATGACGAGTCGCAAAACAGACCAACTAAATTTTAATTTGACTGCAAGCAATATTTTCATCACAACTTTCATAACAAAGGATGAATAATAAATGATCTGAAGGAAGGCTTCAAAGCCTCAAGTATGCTGAACTGGAATAAAAATAATAATAATAATAATATAATAATAATAATAATAATAATAATAATAATAATAATAATAATAATAATAATAATAACAATAATAATAATAATAATAATAATAATAATAATAATAATAATAATAATAATAATAATCATAATAATAATAATAATAATAATATTAATATTAATAATAATAATAATAATAATAATAATAATAATAATAATAATAATAATATATTAATAATAATAATAATAATGAGAAGAAGAAGAAGAAGAATCTGGTGTTTTACACCCCCAAAACCACAATATGATTATGAGAAATGCCGTAGTGGAGGGCTTCAGAAATTATGACCATGTGGCGTTCTTTAACGTGCACCTAAACCTAAGCACACAAACCTAAGGCATTTTTGCCTCCATCAAAAATACGGCCACTGTGGCAGGAATTCAATCCCACAACCTGTGGATCAGCAGCCGAGTACTTAGGTAAGCCACTCGAAAACTGTGGTGGGTGCGAACTGGAAGTATGCAGTGAATCACACTTGCAAAATTGACATCAAATCACAAAAAATCTGCTTGAATATTGAAGCTGACACTTGAATGCTGTATTTATCATGGTAGCAAGTGCATTCATGCCTTTTTACACATATTTTTCACACCTGTATGTGAAATATGGTAACAAGTTCATTTAGAATTGATTCAATGAGTCACTTCCAAGAATTTCTTATAATGAATTACAAATTGTGTGAAATTGTATTAAATGCAAAAAAATAACCAAAAGATTGGAAAATCCTTGTGCGGTGAAGGAAAAGAAGTGCATTCAAAACAAAGATGCCTCAAATCCTGTGCAAGCCTATCCTCCACAGCCACATACAATGTTCGAAAGTACTTTAATTTCACACGTGTCAAAAGCAGTCGTGTAATAGTGAAGAAAGAAGGAAATCTCTAACGAAAGTTCGCTGCCTGAAACCACAATTCCTTTGCCAGCCTGAACACTGGATGACTTCAATTACCTTGACAACGCCATCCTGCAAGGCATACGACAACTTCTCTGTCACATCCTGGGCGCTTACTCCGGACGAGATCCCCGACACCATGAGCATGTCTTCTATTGGGACGGTGCTGCTGGCTGTGGTGTCTGCGGTCACGAACGTGACACCGACGGAAACGTTCTTTCCAGACACAAGTGTGTGGCCAATCGTAGCACCCCGCTTGGCTGTTTTACAAAAAGAGAGGCGAGAGTGCATAAATGCAGTGATCTGCTGCTTTGCTCCAGCCTGCATTCTTCAAGCTCTAGGCATAGCAACGGTAACTTATTCAGAGGTCTTAAAAATGGTAGAGACAAAATCAGGCCAAATTTGTAGCTTTCTGTTGAAGAAAGGTATTTACTTAGCGCTGGTGAGGATGAGGACAACAAGGCAGAGACAAAAGACACAAGGGCACTACACACAACAATAAAATTTGTACCTTGACCGCGTCAAAGAAAAGTGCTTTCACATAAACGTAACAAAATCGTGCAACCTTCATACGCTACAAGAAGCAGACAACCAAGCGAATGAATAGGGAAAAAAGACATGGTGTACTAACCAGCACTGAGTAACTGTCTTTCCATTATGCTCCAACAAACCCACATCACTACACTCGTAGACTACATATCTGTTAAAGAACCAAAAACGCGCTGCTAAAATGACTAAACAGTTATAGCAAAAATGAAATAGGAGTCATGAAAAGAGGTCGGAAGCCCAGAGTTTCGAATCAGAACTGATATGGGTTCGTTAAAATTCACTCTAAACATGCATCCTTTCACACCGCTTCAGTTCCAATGAGGAAAAATAAAAATTTACTACAGTACACGAACTGGCTTTCAGCAATGAAACCATTTACAAATTGGTTTAGCACAATGTGCAATAACTTAACACACTAATTTGCCCAGTGCTATCGACTAAAATACGCAGAGCTAAAACACTCAAGGCAGTGTTGTTAAAGTTATGGCACTAGCGGTTTACTGAAAATCCTTATAGCACTTTGTAATTTCCCCGTTACTTCCGTTGTTTTAATCAAGTGTCGCACCAAGCGCATAAAACTTGCCTTGCACTAATACACCCACAATTTTTATTAAAAGGTGAAATGAATATCAGCATGTTGGTGGACTAGAAATAGCAGTCATTGTTTTCACGTAAATATCAGTTAAATTGGGCTAATACAGTAGATGCTCAGTAAACAAAAATCTGTTAAACGAAACTACTGCTTAAATGGAACAACTGCCTCTACCGTGATTGCTTTCGTACCTGAATTCTGCTCCCCTGTTTGTCTCATTAAACGGAACTCCTGTTAAACAGAACAGACTCTCCTAGTCCTTTCAGGTTCCATTTAACGACGGTCCATTGTGATACTGCATTATATGCATAAACACAGCCATTTTATGAGCACTTTGATGAAGATTGTTTCATAGTTGCTGAAGAATTCGACATGGTGAAGGCATTGCACTCTAGACAAACGTCTTTTCGGGGGCAGTCGCTGTACCAGTCTTGACACATAAGGCCACACAGTACTGTAAATGAATTTTGTGGAAACCAGCAAGGTAGCAGAAGGGCTATAAATTTCCTTGCAGCCTTGCACTACCAACAACTGGCTGTAGGCTTTTCCTTGTGGTTATGCTAGTAAACAGACTGAGAGTGACGTTGTTAAGAGAAATATACATGCCAAGTTCTTCAAGAAAGTCACATTTTGATTTCGTAACAGCAGCTCTTGAAAGAGCACATGTTGCCAAAAAAACATCCCTAAGTCCCAATGGCAAAGAGCTGCACTTCCCAAGCCATACATATTATTTCAGGGCACTTTATTTTCGATCATCACAACCTTCTGTCTCTTATTTTAATTTTTACGCACTTGGTGAGCTAAGGTTTGCATCCTTGCATACATCTAAGCCTTTTTTGGGGAGAGAGGATGGTGGGGAGCACCAAGGGGTTAGCACCTTTCCTTTTTTTTTTTTTTATTGTTACATCAGCTGCTAGTTCCACAACATCCAACCTTCCCACAGAGATTTGTTTTCTGGAGCCCTTTGATTTACTTATGTAACCATAAGAACAGCTCTCAAGCATGCCTCCGTCCTATGCAAGGAATCCCAGAAAAGTTGTGCCCGCATTAGAAGTAACTTTAAACATTGCAGGGTTCAAGAATGAACAAGTTTTAAAGTAGTACATGCAAATTTCGTGACCGAGATAGCCTCAAGGTTTGATTGCTGCAAACATGCATATATGATCTACCAAATCTCAGCAGCGAATATAATGGAAGGCAATTTATATGAATATTGAAGTTGCACAATCTAGCCCTATGAACTGCACCTCATGACATTGGCATCATCTAAAGTGACATGAAGGTGACCAGCAGCTTCTCAATGACACCACAGTGACCAAAAAGCTGGCTTAGCTAGTAATTATGACATCATAGTGGAAGTTCCCCTTTTGCCCCACTAGTGCCACATGTGACTTTTTGGCAGCTGCTCCCAAGTCCATGCCTGCAGAGAATGTGTGGAAAGTATGGAAACCCTGAGCCCCATCACGACACGACAATTAATAATAGTCTTCAGGCAGCATGTGTGGCAGGCAAAAGAATAAAAGAGAATGAGATACAGGTAATGCAAACGTGCCCCACAGTTTGTGATCGTTGCCTGTTCAGCATGCTGCACATGCTACGAGTGTTAGCTATTTTATTAGCTGGTTCCTAGTGCCACCTGTGTCATGCACTACGACTAGTGGCGAATGGCTCAAGTCTAGCGGTTTGTGGAAGTTCTATTTTAGTAGCAATATAATGCCTAGAATACACTTACTAGTGTGCCGACCGCAGGCGACGCGGTAGCGCGGACAATGATTCCTTCCACCAGTGGCCACCAGACCGCGATAGCCGCAGGGACTGTGCTATGCCGAGCGGCCCGAGCGGAGAGGTGTTGACGGCGTCTCTACCAACACTCCAGCCAACACGCGTGTGCGGCAGATGCCGATGGACTCTCCCAGCCCACTTAGAGCTGTGGAACGCTGGTTGATTGATTTATATGTGAGGTTTAATTTCCCAAAACCACCATATGATTATGAGAGACGCCATAGTGGAGAGCTCTGCGAATTTCGGCCACCTGGAGTTTTTACCATGCACCCGAATCTGAGCCCACGGGCATACAGCATTTTCGCCTCCATCAAGAGAATGCTGGTTGGGGGAAAAGGGTAATCAAAGCAATATTTTTCCGTAGCTAGCACTTACACCCGGTAAGCATGCCGACATTGTCAAGTGGTTCAGCAAAAATAATGCAATATATTATTGCAACAGCATTAAAGAGCTCATTTCACACAAATGCCAATGTCCGCGAGGCTGGTGTCAACGAAAAATCATCCTGGACGCGTAAAAAAAAATTTAGAGTTGCAATTAAAATAAAGGATAAAAATTTTGGTTCGAATTTTTCACGGGAATTTGATCAATGACACTATCCACTGTTTTTTGAACGAGCGCTCAATCTAGCCATTACTAAGAGGTTTCTCACAAATGACAGCCGCCAAAGTTACAATCTTTTCGCTTTATGTTCTTCTCCCACGCGGCTAAGTGTTGTGGGTCTGCAGGGGAACTGAATTATCAGACATGCTCGTTGTTAGGGTGTAAAAAAAGCAGGTGCTGTATTTACGCCTCCTTTTCTGCGACGACATCCCGAAGTCGTGAAGAGACACAATGGTGAACAATGCGCACAGAAAAGAAACACGGCAATGACTTAAGGATGCACGCAATACCTGTGCAACAGCAGAAATGCCTTTCAACTACACCGTAACCGGCTGGGTTTACGAACCCACATCCGAAGTGCATACACAGCGCAAGAGACCCACATGCAACACCCGTGCGACGCGCGCTCTTGATGCGCCCCACCGCTCGGATGGCACAGTCCTTAAGGGTGTTTCAAAAGTAAGCATCATCGGCAGAGCCAGCATCTCCCATTGGAAACGCTCAGCGGTCGGCACACTAGTAAGAATATTCTAGGCACTATAGTAGCAGTGTGTGGACGTTTGTGTGACAGTGTGGTTGTGCGTGTGAGTGAGCGCTAGAGATGCATTAGTTCTACGGATGCCGCGTGCGTCCCCCTGAGCAACGAACTTGAATGAGTGCGTCTTCGGTGTGAATTCTTCCCGCTTTACTTTTTCATTTATTAAAACTGTTCCACTATTACTCAAGCAGTCCTGCGAGTGAGTGTCTTCCCGGCAAGTTGTTGTTTGCTAACATCTCAGAAGCGGGATTACCAGGCCTAACGAAATGCTCGGCACCGTGAATAGCGAGGAACATCGAAGTGGCAACGCACTAGCCAAGAGCAACAAAGAAAATGGTGAGATTGAGTGTGAGACTGTGGGTCAGGCCAATTCTACCATGGGTGCTGACCGAGGCGACTTTATTACCATGCCCAAACTTTTGAACGCTCTCATGAAAAAGTACCACGTCCTAACGGCGTTCAGCGTTACTCGAGCGCTTGGCTCCGCCGGTGATGCCACAGCTCATGTCTGCGAAAATGCCCAGTCGAATAACTTCAAGTGACACCCGACCTGAGGAAGAATATTTTAAGCTTCGACAGCTGCGAGGACAAACCATTAGCAAAAGATTCTATCGTAAAACTCCGCTCCACAGAGACGCTGCACAGCTGGCCTGAGTCTTTAATGCTTGAGACAGCGAAGCGAGACAGTGAAGCTGGCTGCGTTCTAGGAGATCCGACTTCAAAATTTTGAGTTATTTCGAAGAGCATTTTCAGCAAAACTTTGTTAGTCAGACGCGTGCGGTGGAACGCTGGCACAAAATGCACGAGCGCGTCCAACAACGCAACGAAAGCTCAGTGGTCCACTTCCAACACCAAGGTACGTTTGCGCATGGAGGCGAGCATGAATTTATGGGACACTCATGAAGAGATAATGACAGAGCTATGTTTGAAGCAACTGAACACGATGTTTCTGGGAAAAAGTGATGAAGATGACGATGACATCATGCACGACATTCAAGAATTCAAAAAGATTGAGCAAGAAAGGCAAAAGTTCTTCGGTTCAACGCGTGACCAGAGAGCGCTGAGCGACAAAACACGTGCTCAGAATACGAGTGCATCGCATACAATAAAACCAGTTGATGAGGGCAGTACCAAGGACAGGCAACCCCCTTGTGTCTAATGAAAAGGGAGAACAAAAGTGCTACAGCTGTGGCGAGTATGGCCCATGTAGCGAAAGACTGTCCACAACTGAAAGGCTGATGAAGTGTCTTCGCTCCAACGGTACAGACCACACGAAGCGTCACTGCAAGGCTGTGCCGCAGCGCAACTGACACAAATGCGGTAACAAACAGAGTGAGCATGAGAAATCAAGAACACGAGTGCAGGTGCTGAGAGGAGCTCACTGTGAATGAAAGGTTCATTGTTGTTGGACTCATCGACGCAGGCAGTTCTGGCCGCCTTCTGCGTGCCTCCGCAGCAGCGAGATATTGCTTAGAGATCGGCGCCGAAATAACAGACCTGTATAATTTTGGGAATTAGCTCTGTGCCTGTGGCAAAAAAGCACTGGAAGACGCAAGATGGGCTAATGCATCGATGGTGTTTTGGCAAAGGACATACCCATCTTTGTTGTCCCAGATGAAGCTCAATATGTGGATTCATTTGGTCGGAAGGACATTTACTGAGTTGCTTTACATCTCCTATGCAAGAGTGAGAAGCTCTCTAGAGTTTTGTCATTGTAGTGACTGTCCGCTTGCTCATCTTGAACCTTATGCAAGTGACGAAGGAGTGCAGCTGAGCGCCAAGGAGGAATGCATACGCCAAAGTGACACCTTGAAATGGGTTACTTTTTCTACGGATCAAAGGCGTCACCAGCTTGTATGAGCTACCCCAGAAGAGGTACTACAAGTTTCTGCACAAAGCCCCAGTTCGAATGTCACGGAGCAAGGAAAGAAAACGGTGAAGGAGAAGCCCGTGACAAGTTGAAGAAAGCTGAAACGAAGCTGTGAAGTGGATGTTGGATCCTCTATAACAGAGTCCCAAAATTCAAAATTCTTGGGTAGGTTGAACGAACCCCGATAGTGCTGTGCAATATCTCCAGTGGGACTGGTTTTCGCGCTAATACTAGAGATCGACATAGTAGAATTGCCGAATAGCACCCTTGCTGCACCTACTTCGGATGAAGTGAGATAAAGAATTCGAAAAAACGTCAAGGAATGCAAGGTCCGTGGTAAAAAAAAAAAAAAAGAGGCTCCTGAACCCCACTCCCCTCAGGTTAGTGCTCTTAACGAGGACGTTCAGATTTCAGGAGGACCAAGTGCTAGCTATTTTATTAGCTGGTCCCTAGTTGCACCTGTGTCGTGTGCTATAACTCGTGGCGGGCTCAAGTCTAGCATGTCCGTAGAATTTTTGTCTCAGTAGCAGTGTGTGTGGGTTCGTGTGACAGTGCGGTTGTGCATGTGCAGGTGCAAGAAATTAGTTAGTTCGACGGATGGTGTGTGTGTTCCCATGAGCAATGAACTCGAGTGCATCTTCAATGTGAACACTCCTTTTTCTTTACTTTTTCAACTATCAAAACTGTTTCATTATTACTCAAGGAGTCCTGTGAGTGTAAGTCCCCAGGAAGCTATTGTCTGCTAACATGTGGTTAGTTGCACCTGGCTAACTGTCATTTTCAGAACTCGGCCAAACCAAAAGTGAGACAGGTCAGTAATAAACAGACTGCAATTATTTATCTGTTGTTAACTGCAGCATGTGATGTGAGGCGTGTAGGCTTGTGCGAATAGTGAATTTTAGGATCACAGCGAATAGTTACTTTGGTTGAATACTTTTTAATAAAATTCGCATCTTATCAAGGTAAATGGACACAGTTCTGATGGCCCAACTAACATACACAATATATATATCTTTAAAATTGAAACACGACCTGTGCAAATGCCCTTTTTTTTTCGGTTCAAAGGAAGTGGAAACATCTTTGAATAGTACCAAGATTTGACTTGCAGTAGAATGCAAACGATATCGTGTAAAAAAAAATGTTACATTTTAATATTTACTATACTTCAAGCATATAGGCCGGTTCAACAAGCTTTTAAACATCAATAATAGTGAATCGATGTGAGGGTGCTACGGTCATTTAACCTTGAAATGGGGCTTCAGGACAATGCGGATTTTCAATAAATGGTGTTTTCGCGTCCTACTACTTATACACTACAGTGAAACCACCTTTACCGAAAGTTACATGCTGACTAATATGCATTGAAGTAAGTGCTTCCAGGGCTTAGCACTCCTACACTGCAGTGAAACCCCTTTTACGGAGGTTATACGCAGGTTAATACAGTGGAACTTCGTTTATACATCTCCCGGTTTTACGACGACCTGCATTTTACGATAAATCAGTTTGGTTTGGGCGAAATCTCCATAGAAACAACACATTAAAAACCTTAGTTAAATGACGCAAGGCCATTCACGCACGAATGCCCATCCTGCACCTAACAACAACTTTCAGATTCCTCAAATCACATGTTGACCAAATATTCACGAGTGCAAAATATGAACTTTCGTACCCCAAGGTGGACTACAGGAAAAGTAGAGTCATCTTCATCGAATAGAAGATTTATTCTGTCGGAAGTTCATGCACTTCTATATTCGCCTCAATCACGTGTATACGTATCCAGGTTCGTTACCTAGTCAAGCTCTATCCACATAGAGAAGTTTCAGCTGACCAAAAAGTTGATATTTTCACATTTCGGTTCGCAAAAACATTTCCTCATTGACATACGGCTGATCTCCCGTCTCTGTCACACTGGCAGTCACTGATTTGCGCACGCATAAGGGCGCGATGCAGTTGCTTTCGCTGTGCAACATTACTTCCACTTGGCGTCAACGTTCACAATAACAGCGGGACATTACTAGTTGCACTTCACGAGGCAACAAATTACAAAGCGCACAGCTCGGTCACGCACGAATGCATTTGTACATAAAATCCTGGTTTATCACCTTTACGTGATTAGCGACGGCACTGAGTTTGACTATTCTGATGGAATGCTCGCCGCAACGCGGTTTCGGTTTCGTTTTCACGCGCAGGCAATTTTCAGACTCTATCCATAGAACGATGCACGTTGGATTTGATTGTTTTCAAGGACTGAAATTGAAAGATTCCCTCGCACCTCCTTCAACTAATTACTGCTGCCATTAACTACTACTGGCAACAATAACTTAATCTACCCTCATTGCAGAGGTAGAAGGTCGGGCCATGAGGCTTATTCAAGCAGTCTGTACCCCCTTTTCGAGCAAGGCTGAGTGTCGCGGGTATATAATCTTAGTTTTTCGGTTATACGACGCCCAGATTATACGATGGTTTTGCGTGGATCCCCTGAAGTTGTATAATCGGGGTTCCACTGTACACATCTATTCGTTCATTTCGAATACTTCGGAATTTTCAGTAATTTAAATTTGAATGGAAGCTAGATTGAATACTGTGATATTCGTTTGAATATTCAAAGCATTCAAATATTCACACAAACCTAGTGCCATGTTATCAAAACTATGCTCCCAGCAACACATTGTAAAAAAAAAAAAAGCAAGGCCAAAATTTTTGTGACACTGCCCTTTCAACATAAAGAAACCCTGTGACACTTTTTGGTCAGAAAACGTTGCCAGTGAGCATTCGAAGCTCGTGAGAGCCTATGAGCTAAACATTACGCATCATGCACCTTGCACTTCAACAATTAACTCTCAAAGCCAGCTAAAAACACTCACTCTCGTCTTGACAAATGATGCTTGAATCCTAAATGATGATGCCATAAACCCAAACTTCATGGTCCCTGGATAATTGGAGAATCTGCACGGTTACCACTGCCAGCACAAGCCCACGCACACTACCCCACCAAAAGGAAGCCGCACGTTTGATGAAAAAGAAAATGTGCTCAAGGTCATGACGCACACTACAAAATGGTCGCGGCTTCGTGCCCTCTTTCCATTCTCTCTATGTGTAGTTTTCGGAACACTCAATGGTACGAAATGAGAGGGGAAGCATTTAATCCAGGCGGCAAATCACTGTAACTCAGCTCGTGCTTGACAAATTCTAAAAATTTCTGCGGCAGTCGATTCGGACAATGAACTGCTTTAATGAAGACATTCAACGATTAGTCAGAGAAGTGTTGCAGGGCCCCCTTCAAGGTGCTCCAGCTAAAGAAAACCACAGAAGCCACTGCAACTATTTTGTAAATGACAGATCTGTAGATAGGCAGAGTACCGACAATTAAAGAATTGAAGCTCTAAAATGAAATCTAGTTGCGAATATTCGACCATTCACCTGCGTCCACAGAGGAGTACAGAAGAGCCCCGAGAGAGCGTGGTTCCTTGACGTTGTGCGACAGCCGAAAGACCCGCTCAACCTCAGCATCCTGCACGGTTGGCAATGACGAGTCATTCAAGTCAGGCTTGAGTATGAGGATCGGAGACATGACGCACATCTTGAACGGGCACACTGCTGGGCTGAAAAGTAAAAAGGCACCGTCCCTCATCATCAGAACAGATGAAGAGCAGTAGCATAATTATGCATCGTACCTTGCCAACCACTTCCACATCCTGCACGATTCCTGGTTGTGCACTCATTATAAAGTCAATTTCGTTCTTATTTTCGCCATTAGGGCTCCTCTATGTCCACTTGCGGTTTTCTCGTTTTCGGTAGAAGGTATTCAAAATCCGTAAATTATTGCGTTCTGCGAATTCTACAAGTAGCTCTCCTCTAGCGTTTCTAGTACCGATGCCATAATCTCCTACTGCCTGGTCTCCCGCCTGCTTCTTCCCTACCTTTGCATTAAAGTCACCCATCACTATAGTATACTGTGTTTTTACCTTACCCATTGCCGATTCCACGTCTTCATAGAAGCTTTCAACTGAAGCGTCATCATGGCTGGATGTAGGCGCGTAAGCCTGTACTACCTTCATCTTGTATCTTTTATTCAGTTTAATTACGATACCTACCACCCTTTCATTAATGCTATAATATTCCTCTATGTTGCCAGCTATGTTTCTGTGAATTAGAAACCCCACTCCCAGTTCTCTTCTGTCAGCCAAGCCCCGATAGCAAAAGACGTGCTCATTCTGTAGCACCGTATAGGCCTCATCTGTCCTCCTAACCTCACTGAGCCCTATTTTATCCTATTTAACACCCTCTAGCTCCTCGAATAGTACAGCTAGACTTCCCTCACTAGATAAGGTTCTAACGTTAAACGTTGCCAAGTTCAGGTTCCAATGGCGGCCTGTCCGGATCCAGAGATTCTTAGCACCCTCTGCTGCGTTGCAGATCTGACCGCCGCTGTCAGTTGCTTCGCAGCTGCTGGGGACTGAGGGCCGTGAGTTATTAGACGTATGCATGTGGGAGGTAGTGGCCAGATACTGCACCAGGGTGGCCAATCCTTCTCTGGTGAGGGAGTGCGTTCCCGGCGGTGGTTACTAGTGAGGCCACACCCCAGGCCTCTTAATGCAGTTCCATCAACACGCGAATTTTTTTTTTTTTAATCCGGTTGGGAACTGTGCGGCACTGGGATTTGAACCACGGACCTCTTGCATGCGAGGCGGATGCTCTAACCACTACGCCATCGCCGCATATTACGGTTTGGTCTCGAATTCGCCTAGACTTGAAGAAGAAACGACAGCAACTGACATGCAAGAAGCCAATCAATGAGCTAGCACTGAGAGGGAAAGTACAGGAATTCAGAGTGTCGCTGCAGAACAGGTACTCGGCTCTTAGTGAGGAAACCAACCTTAGCGTAGATACATTGAATGATAATCTAACGAGTATCATTATGGAGTGTGCAGTGGAAGTTGGAGGCAGGGCAGTTAGACAGGACACTGGCAAGCTTTCCCAGCAAACGAAGAACCTAATTAAGAAGCGTCAAATCATGAAAGTGTCAAGTAAAACAGACGAAATAGAACTGGCAGAGCTTTCGAAATTGATTAATAGACGTAAGATATGCGATGTAAGAAGGTATAACATGGAGAGAATTGAACACGCTCTGAAAAACGGAGGAAGCGTCAAAGCAGTGATGAGGAAACTTGGGATAGGCAAAAGTTCGATGTATGAACTAAGGGACAAAGAAGGCAAATTAACTACCAATATGGATAGGATAGTTAAAATAGCGGAGGAGTTTTACAGAGATCTGTACAGTAGCCAAGACAACCACGACCTTAATACTATAAGAACTAGCAGAAACCCAGATGACACCCCAACAGTAATGATAGAAGAAGTCAGAAAAGCTTTGGAGAGCATGCAAAGAGGCAAAGCTGCTGGTGAGGATCAGGTAACATCAGATCTGCTGAAAGATGGAGGACAGATTGTGTTAGAAAAACTAGCCACTCTGTTTACGAGGTGTCTCCTGACGGGAAGAGTACCAGAGTCTTGGAAGAACGCTAACATCATCTTAATACATCAGAAAGGAGATGACAAGGACTTGAACAATTACAGGCCGATCAGCTTGCTCTCTGTAGTATACAAGCTATTTACAAAGGTAATTGCTAACAGAGTAAAGAAAACATTAGAATTCAATCAACCAAAGGAACAAGCAGGATTTCGAACAGGCTACTCAACAATCGACCACATTCATACTACCAATCAGGTAATATAGAAATGCACGAGAAGGCGTTTGATTCAGTAGAAATATCAGCCATCATGCAGACACTGCGGAATCAGGGCGTAGATGAAGTATATATAAACATACTGGAGGAAATCTACAGGGGATCAACTGCTACCATAGTGCTTCATAAAGAAAGCAACAGAATACCAATCAAGAAGGGTGTAAGGCAGGGGGACACAATCTCCCCAATGCTATTTACCGCGTGCTTACAGGAGGTTTTCAGAAGCCTAGAATGGGAACAGTTAGGGATAAGAGTTAATGGAGAATACCTTAGTAACCTGCGCTTCGCCAATGACATTGCATTGCTGAGTAACTCCGGGGACGAATTGCAACTCATGATTACGGAGTTAGACAAGGAGAGCAGAAAGATGGGTCTTAAAATTAATCTGCAGAAAACGAAAGTAATGTACAACAACCTTGGAAAGGAGCAGCGCTTCGAGATAGGTAATAGTACACTTGAAGTTGTAAAAAACTATGTCTACTTAAGGCAGGTAATAACCGCTGAGCCGAACCACGAAATTGAAGTAACTAGAAGAATAAGAATGGGTAGGTAGATTGCCACTATCCCTCAAGAGGAAGGTATATAACAGCTGTATCTTGCCGGTACTTAGCTACGGAGCAGAAACCTGTAGACTTACAAAGAGGGTTCAGCTTAAATTGAGGACGACGCAGCGAGCAATGGAAAGAAAAATGGTAGGTGTAATCTTAAGAGACAAGAAGAGAGCAGAGTGGATTAGGGGACAAACGGGGGTTAAGGATAACATAGTTAAAATAAAAAAGAGGAAATCGACATGGGCCAGGCATGTAGCGCGTAGACAGGATAACCACTGGTCATTAAAGGTAACTAACTGGATTCCCAGAGAAGGGAAGCGGGTTAGGGGGAGACAGAAGGTTAGGTGGGCAGATGAGATTAAGAAGTTTGCGGGTATAAAATTGGCAGCAGCAAGCACAAGACGGGGTTAACTGGCGGAACATGAGAGGCCTTTGTTCTGCAGTGGACGTAGTCAGGCTGATGATGATGATGGTGACTACAATTATGCAATCTGACCTTGTAAAGCAACACAGAAACTACGAGTGATGCTTTAGGAGGCAGGTTTGTAGGCATAGATTACATATCTATAATTATTTACATGCCGCCACTTACAGTTATGGCAGTTTATAATTGAACTACTACTTCTCTAAGAAATGTGATCAAATACTAAAAAGAAGAAATATTGAGAGCAACTGCTTTCTTTAAATGTATGTTTTTAGGAGATTTCGGCAGCTCTATATGGTGCTACTCCTTTTGACAAAAAATCAACATAGTGGCCACACAGTATAGTTTGCTATAAGTAATCTCTAGAGACTGGATTTTAGACAAATGCCTATTTTTTTTGCTGGCACTATTATCATGCCACTTTGAGATATGAGCATTAAATAGAGGCTAAGGAGGGCTTTTATAGCATTCTTATAAAGCCTATAAGTGCCCATTTCTGGCATGTGTGCCTATATAACGGCAAGGACCGTCTAACCTGAAGTTTCAGTTCCTGGTGCAATTTCGGACCATTATTCTTGTTGCCACACATCGTTCACTGCTGGAAACATAATGGGGTTCAACCTAGTCCTCTACCTGAACCACATCTCAGAAAAAAACTGCAAGCAGCAGTGAAATGGGAAGCACTGACTGCCAAGGGCAGAGCAGTTGATTAATGCGAAATTGTGGAGAGTCGTCAGGAAAGAGTGACGAGAAAAAGAAGAATGAAAATCATAAAAAATGAGCACGTGGGTTTAGTTTAGTTTATAATTTACTTTTCAAGGTGTTCACCACCAGGTGACAAACTGGTTCTCTGTGATTTGAGTGGGCTAATATGAAGAATCCTCTCCTTCTGGTCTTTTAGTGATCTGGATGCATGCTCCAGCACTAACCTTCTCTGACAAGCCAAAAGGAAAGGCACACAGGTGTGTGTTGATTTGACAGTGGACGCTTGACTCACCACGCCACAGAATAAGCGGAGGAACCGCATTCTGCAAAGCATGAAGCACAATTGCATGGCTACGTTCAACTGTTTGTGTCTATGTGTCATCATAAACAGTGACATTTTTCGTTCTCCTGTCAGCATCAAAGGTCGCCCACATCTTTCTTTGAAATTATTTGCATTTATGCGAAAATTCATCTCTGACGTAGCATTGTTAATGCTACACGAGTTGTAAATACAGGAGACACCGCCCCAGAACGGGACGTCACTAAGCAACCCACTTTAACACTAATGTACTAAGGATGACAATACGCCTTCTTAATTTCCGAATGTATAAGCTAAGCTGATGCCTCACAGTGCACTTCGTTCATCGGACTATATGTAAGCCGACACCCTCTTAAAAAAATTTTCTGTCCACCTTTAGGTGCTTCTATCCAAACGTCGGCCAGCCATTCTGAGCCAGCCTCATAAAATTCCAGTCTTTGTACAAGACACCTCAAAATTGCATACATCTTCAAAAAGGCAAACACAGGTGCTATGTTCCTTTTGTGAACTCAATGTTCGCAATGATGTTGTGATGGCCACCTAACGTCTTCACTAGGCCTAATGGAAGAGTGTTCACCGAGGGAAAACAAGCCCTAGCAGCCATGGCACAATGCCCTTCATGGAGGTGCACTCTACAGCAATGCTCATACAGTCAGAAGTTTTCAGAGAGGGTGGCTACTCTTGTTTCCCAAAACAAATGAGGAAAGATGACTGGCGCATACTTTCAAGAAGATTTACCAATGGAGATGAAGGAAGCTTAAGGGGCTCTACAAAGGGAGTAAAATATGACTAACCAGCCCATTACACTCAGACTATCTATATAAAAATGATAAAACTTGAATGACTAGCAATGCAA